GGCCCCAGAGTACTATGGTGCTTTTTCTACACCTTGCTCACATCTGTGTAAATAGTCCCTTTATTAACTCCCCTCAATTACCCAGCTTGAGGTGTCCTCTGTTTCCTGCTGAGACTCTCTGTGATATATAACTGATCCCATCTGGGGCCCAGGGGGGCTTCATGCCTGTGCTGGCTGGACCTTCACAGGCTCCAGGCTCCTGCTTAGTCCTTAAGAAAAGCAAAGTCCTTTCTAATGAGTCTTCAAAAGGACCTTCAATTAACGTCCAATATGACCTCACCATGACAGTTTGTTACCCAATCTCTTTCCTGGATCTTACACCTAGAAAATCTTGCATTGCCTTCACACCCTCAGCCCTCCACCCATGGCTTTGTCCCAGAACAACTGCTTTATGAAGTTGCTTCTAAGTTCATGGATCCTTCCAGATTCTTACACATCCCTCTTGTACCTCTGCCCTTTTCTGCCCTCTTCCTAAATACCCTTTTTCCTTCCCTAGCACAAGCCCAGCTCCCATGTCACCTCCTCCTAGCCAGAAGTAGAATTTCCTTTCTTTGAGTGTTGTGGTGCTTGGCTTTTCCTTCTCCAGTGGCACTTGCCAAACTCCACATTGAACTGTATAATTTGTAAAATGCTTGACCTCACCTACAAGATGATAAATCCAAGTTCCCTCTGTACTGAGCATTGTAAACCCCTCAGATCCAAACACAGTGCCTTACAGCTTATCTGTGCTCAAAAGTACATGTGGGATGGCTGGATGGTTGACAGATGAACAGACGACTATTCTTTATTGCTTTGCTCTTCCTGCCATGGGGCTCCTCAGCTTTAAGGTCTTTGTCTGGTATTTCTTCACTCTTATTCACCAACTGCATGCTGAGTAAGATTAATACCTTCAAAATTCATTTTTTAGCAACATAAATATCTTCAACCCTTGGTGCACACAAGAAATACAATTAATGTATAAACATTTGTATTGACACTCAGAAAGACTTTTAAGTTGGTAAACACAGTAACAGTTTGGGCTCCAATTGCTTGAGAGAATTCAGTTTAATATTCCATAGCTTTTCAGCCAACTGACAATTGAAGAGAAGAACAGATCCAGGTTGGTAGAGATGTCTTAGCCAAATTGTGGCACTTTAAATGAACTAATGCATTAATTGGTAAATGAGAAAATATTTATTTATCTTGCATGTGTTACGTGCTAACAAGACTAACAAGATAGTTTCAGACACATGATCGTTCTCTCAGTCTAATTCCACATGTTATTTTTCAAATAGATTATGATCATACCTAGAAAAAATTAGTTCCCTGTTTTGATCATGAAGACAGGGTTATCATGAGAATTATTGCTTACAAGGATATGATATGGGCAATAGACCTTTTAAAATGAAACATGGCCTCTCATGCATATGCTAGATATAATTGCAAAAAAAATTAAGAGATGGGATAGTAAGTGGAAAAATTTTAAGTCTCTTTGTTTTTTGCCTTTGAAACTATTTTTAAATTAATCCTACAGCTACAAATAGCCTGGCTTTTACAAAATTATCTAAAGCCGACTCTGATGACTAAATTGGGTCCTCACATGCAGCTACTTTAAAGTTCTGCTAACATTTCCTTCCTACAACCCTTTCCATGGACTTTTTCCCTGGGATAATTTTGCCTGAGCTATACAGTGATAAGCCTCTGCTTGGCAGCATTTCTCGACAGTCCTTCAACCTTTTGTGCTCCAGTAAACCTGTCATTTTGTCTTGAGTCTTTCATGGTCATTATGGTCATATGGGCATTATGTAAGTCTGTGGGTATGATATCCTGCCACTCTGTGTCTCAAGCAATTCCTTCAGCTATTTTGCCAAGTTCTCCTTGCAAATTTTTGTCACATACTCTTCAAGTACAACATTTGTAAAGTCTTTTTTTTTTTTTAAGAGAGAGAGAGCAAGTGAGCATGTGGGCAAGTGGGGGAGGGGCCGAGGGAAAGGGAGAGAGAGAATCTTAAGCAGGCTCCATGTTCAGTGCTTGGAGCCCAACATGGGGCTGGATCTCATGACCCTGAGATCATGACCTGAGCCGAAATCAAGTCGGATGCTTAATCAACTGAGCCACCCAGGCACCCAAGTGCAACATTTGGATCTGCCTTGAGAAGAAATACTTGAAGCTAATTCCTTATGTCAGATCCAGAAGGATCCATGGGCTTAAATATTACCTAAATCAACCATGATTTCTAATCAGCTCAGGTATCATGACTATTTCAAATGCCTCTTTGAGTAAATATAGAAGACTGAGACTAGAAAACTGTACTGTTATGAAGCCATTACATTAAATAATCTTACCATTAAATCCATGGCAAGAAAGCAATGTGATTACAAGCTATGAAGTAAAGTCTAATAAAAGCAGAGGATGGAGGGGGCCATAGTGCTTACTTACCTAGTATCTTCACATAAGTTTCTTAATTTTGACTTTTGATCTCATCATCTTTGTAAATCAGGTGGGGTCTTGCTGATCAGAAAACTATAGTTGAAAGGACTCAAATCTAACTCTTCTGAATTCTTATTAAAAAAATCCTTGATCATCATAATTAGATTAGCAATTTTTTCTCATTTGGAAGCATAGGAAATGGATGTTTTAGGAAAGATTTTAATGTAAGTCTCAGCCTGGGTCTTTCATTATTTGTTTGTTTAGAGTTTGTTTTCTTTTTATCTTGGATCTCCCTTTGGACCTTCTGTTCCTCCTCTCAGACAGACTGCTGCCCCCTTCGTGACTCAAGAGCACGCTGTTAGTAAACACTGAACCCATGGTCCAGGCCACTGTGAGGCTATTCTGGCTCTCGAGGACATACAGCCCAGGAAAGACCTAGCATCTGTCCTAAGTGCTTTATCCGAGGTAACTGTGGAGTGTAGAGGCCGCGCAAAGGAAGCGAGCATCATGGTTATGAGAAAATTAAATTTTCAAAGAGCATTACAGTCTTTAATACTCTAAATCAGATGATTCCTAAGTAAAGCAAAGCAAAGCACTGAAATCATTTTCTTTTCTTTTCTTTTTTTTTTTAAATATTTTATTTATTTATTTGAGAGAGAGAGAGAGAGCACAAGTGAGAGGCAGCGGGAGAAGCAGACTCCCCACTGAGCAGGGAGCCTGATGCAGCACTCCATCCCAGGACCCTGAGATCATGACCTGAGCCGAAGGCAGACACTTAACTGACTGAGCCACCCAGGCGCCCCTGAAATCATTTTCTTGAAATTGATAGTCAATACTTCTTGAGTTCCTGGTTTCCCTATGCTCTGCTGGGCACGATACTAGCTGCCATGAAGATTCTCCAAAGATGGGAGACACTTCTCAACACTAAAGTCTCAGATCAAAGATACCCTCAAATGTCCAAGCTCTTTCCTGACCACCTATGTGAGTGTGCACCAACCCCCAGGTCCCTCCCTACTCCATTTTTTTCATAGCCCTGTCACTATCTAATAATATATTTGATAGTATTTTCAGTTTTTAGCTTTAATTTGGGGTTGACAATAGAACATTCAATTGAATAGACATCAAATGGGGGTAGGGGGGAGGGAGGCCAAAGTAGCCTTAGTAGAATTTTGTTTATGAAAACTGTACATTTCACTGGAGGGCACATACTGCATGGAGCACTGGGTGTTATATGCAAACAATGAATCATGGATCACTACATCAAAAACTAGTGATGTACTATATGGTGACTAACATAACATAATGAAATAAAATTAAATTTAAAAAAAAAGAAAACTATACATTTCATACATTTCATCATTCTTATCCTGAAAATGCTGTCAAGGTGGAGAAATCCTCTTTGTCTAAAGTAGTTATTTGACCTATATTAGAAAAGAGAAGTGGTAGGATAGGAAGAATAGGTTGTGTTTATATGGTCAAACAGGCACTGTCTAAATTTCCAAATGATGGAACACATTTCATTACTTCCAAAGTGCTATGAAAATTGAACATAATATATGTAAGTAAATATTGTCATAATCCCCAGAAATCAGATGCTTACCTATGAATTTGGAGAGTAAATCTTAGGTAGTTGACAAAATGAATGAAATTCTTTAGTTCAACATTAAAACTTCTGACTTTTGACATTGTAACACATCTTCTAATTCTATGATTATGTGTAATCATACACACTCTACTTCACTGCAAAATTAACCTTTTCACTCAAAAAATACTTACAGATTTGCTGTATTTGCCAGGCACCATATTAGTTGCCTGGTGATATATCGGTGAACAAAGCAAAGGCCCTCATGGAGCTTTCAGTTAAATGGGAAAGACAGACATGAATCAGATAAACACCAATAACTATCTACCAATGATGCTTGATGTAAAAGAAATATGCCAGATGCTATGAGAACATATGGCAAGGGAAGCCACTCTGGTCTGAGTTTGGGGAAGTTCTCCCAAAAGAAGCAACATTTGAGTTGACTCATGGAATGATTAGTTGTTGACTGGGCAGAGATGAGCATATGCAGAATGGAGAAGGAGTATGTGTGTTCCAGAGTGGAAATAACCATGTCCAAAAGAGTTGGGCTTGCCTTTGCAATGTTGTGTCTTCAGGAAAAATACATCTTTGGGGGCACTCCTTTGACTTTTGCTGCCAAATAGTTAAATACACTTGGTTTGTGATTAGTCATAAAGCTGTGCTTCTAAGCAGTTCATCTGTACAGACTATCATGAAACAAAAGAGTTAAGAAGCACAGAAAGCTGGATATCTGGATACGCCTTAAAAACTGCTAACCAGATCCTCTTTTTGTGAACTATATTCCTTTTGAAAATCTCAGTGAGGACTTTCAACAGGTTCCCATTATCATATCTAAATTGTGCATTCCTTTAGGGACAAAGGGGGAAAGATTAACCAAATTCATAATTTATTAGCACACTTTCCAAATATGCCTACTGGGTTCTCGTTCATTGTACAATTCTGACTTTTGATTGCTTGCCAAATAAATAATGGGAAATAAATAGTTTGATCATTCTCTTACCTTCAACAGTTGTAAATCAAGATGGCCAGCCTCTCATAGAAGGAAAACTTAAAGAGAAGCAAGTCAGATGGAAGTTCATCAAAAGGTGGAAAACTCGTTATTTTACACTGGCTGGAAATCAACTTCTGTTTCAAAAAGGAAAGTCTGTAAGTTTCCCCCTTGTCTTTTACACTTGTATTTTTAAGGTCTTGATCTACATCAACCAGGTAGGCATTTTGTCCTGAGTTAAAACGCCAATAATTTGTCCTTTTCCATTAATAATTTCACAGTGTCATTTTTTTTTTTTTTGCATATGTCCCTTGGACTGTCTATTCTGTTCAGTCCTATGTTAGTTGGTTTACTGTCTCTCTTCAGTTTATTACAGGAGATCTTTTTTAAGTTGACTTAAGTTTAGAAGATAAACTGCCAAAGGACTACCCAGTGAGCTTGATTTGAACCGTGTGCCTTTTGTTCCCTTATAGATCACCTACATAAATTAATAGCTTATGATATTGACCCTGACTTCCTTTATAACTAAAGGTTATATTTGGAGTCAGGGACCCAGGGAAGAGAGACAGCAGGCTGGGAGAAAGAAAAAGGCTGATTTATTTTAAGTACTTTTCATAGTCAACTAAGTTCAGTGCTGGTTAGGGAAAACCACTATCATCTTGCAGTCATTTAATACTCAGTTAAATAGAACAGGATTCTAAAAGAATTAATAAATATTCATTTAATGTAATTTTCAATCTGAACTAGGATGCTCAGTAAATATCTGTACTCTGAAATTTCAGTGAGAAACTTCTGAAATAGCATTTTATTCCAATCAGCAATGCAAAGTTATTCCTTTCTTCTCAAGTCAGTTTTATTTATCATTAAATTCTATTCATTCAGGATCAGGGAGAAAGAAATCTTGACCTACCTCTTGGATATTTTGAATATAATAATAATAGCTTAGCACATGCCACCCTGGATTGCCTTAAAGAATCCTCAAAACGGTCCTTTGAGGTCAGCACTATTGTTTTTGTCATGTTACATATGGGTAAATCTGGGGTGCCTTTCCCTCCCTCTCTCCCTCCCTGCCAGCGGATGGAAGCATATTCCTCTGGGCTGGGTGATCTCGGTGGCCTTCTGCACAGTGCACAGGCCCTGAGAGCTGGTGTCTTTCCCAGGATGGGCAGGCACCAGGTTAGATCTGACAGAAAGAAAGCCTTGTGGAATCTGACTTGAGTGGGAAGTGGGGGCACTTTCGGTCTTTATCTCGCCTGCCAGGCAAGCCAGGGAGAGCAAGACCCTGGCCTTTGGATTTCTGTCTTGTCCCACTCTTACAGGTATTATTTGAGCCCCAGAATCAGAGTGATGTGGAAATATGTGCATATGTACACATGGTCATCCATCCACTCCTGTGGAAAGATGCCCAGAGAACACGCATACAACACCCTGCTGATGCCTTTACACCTACTGTGCCCCACTCATGGATTTGGGGACCCAGGGTCTGTCAGTCATTGCCAGGATATCAAAGATATCTGGGAAATACAAAGGAACTAAAGGTTCTGACAAGTCTTGCAGGAAAGAGCCCACTTAATTTTGTTTAACTACTATATCTCAAACTTGTTCCACCATATGGTACTTTTACATCATGTAACATCAGACCCTCCCCACTCCCTTCCCCTTGTGAGAGAGAGAGAGACAGAGACAGAGAGAGAGAGACTTTGATTGGCTTGACCAAAGTTAGAGCCAGTAAGGTAAAAAGGGATAAAACTGGAGTCAGGCACAGGCCGCGTGACATCAAAGCTTGTTGTTAAATGAATGTACTGTCCTGCTTCCCGGGAATACTTAAAATACAGAGCAGTGGCAAACCAAACTGTGTTTGAATTCATTAAAGAAAGATTTTAAATTATTTAAAAATTATGAGTCACTGAAAACATATGCACTATATCTTTAGAGTGCTCATTATAAAATGTATTTGAACTTTTTACGCAACAGGAATAAAGTATGGTATATCCGAATTATGACAAATTTTGATGAACGCTTTTTTAATTAATAAAACGTCATGTTAACTTTTTGAACGGAAAAAAAAAACCCTAAGCTCATGCTACTTTATTCATCTGCGTGTATTATTAAATATACAGATGGACTTTTCTGTGGCTGAAGATCTTTTTGAAAGGGAAGCATAATGGTTATTCAGACAGTTACTGGACTCAATTCAGACAGTTATTGGAGGTTTAAAGAAACTTTCCTTAGCATAGCTGCACACTGAAGTATTTTTAAAGTGTTTAAAATGACCATCTGAATTTCCTGTTTTTATTAAAGAAATCAGAAGTTAAGATGCAATGATTTCTCAGATCCCTTGAGACAGAGCAGAGTTAGTGCATAAGAATATTTTTCCTGAGCTCAAATAATGACCTTTATACTTCTTGATTCAGAGCTTTTTAATAAAGCTTAGAGTAGGCTATTTTATAATTGGCTAACTTGTTTGATATCTTTATAGGGAAATAATGGTTTGACATTTCAGAAATCTGACAGAACATGTGGCTCAAATATTGAGAAATATATAATGTACTATAACGACCACAGCAAATTCCCTCTCATCCCCAGGGACACAGTGACCTAGCAGGGGTCATCAGTCCAGCTGAAGCTTCAACCCCTTTCTTGTAAATGAGAAAAATGTGCATTTTTAATAAGGACTGAAAGACTATGGTGTTATTTTTTTACTTTCGCGTTCGTAAGGTCTTGATCTCTACCAACCAGCTAGGCAGTGGTGCCCTTTGACTTCCTGTCCACTTCTCTTGGGTAATTCACTGTCCCTCTTTAGAGAACTATGGTAACTTTTTGTTTTCTTGATCAGTTCCTCCATGTATCAATTTCTGTTCTATAGACTAATTCAAAGAAATACAATCTTATTACTGTCAGATATTTACCATAAACCAAATTAAGCTAGCAAATTATTATCTTGTGCAGGTATCTTCAAACTTTATTCTGTCTATTCCCTAAAAGAATTTTGAAAATCTGTGTAATACCTTGCAGCATTTTAAGTTTATCATAAGTTTAAACAGTCCACAAACTGTAATTTCTGTTGAATTGAAAATATTATCATTTTAAAATAAAAAGTTCACACCTCTCCTTTAAGTATAACCATTGGAATAAGATACCGTAGCAATTTGACACCTAACACCATCCATTAAAGAAATACATAAATTAGTTCATCTTTATTTTTTTTACTATGTTCAGTTAGCCAGCACATAGTACATCATTAGTGTTTGATGTAGTGTTCAGTGATTCATTAGCTGCATATAACACCCAGTGCTCATCACAACACATGCCCTACTTAATACCCATCACAATGTTTACATGGTATCATTTTTCTTTGAAATCATATTGTTTTCTACCAGTCCCACAGCATTTTATCCTGATCACCCAATCATTTTTTACTGCAATAAAACTATGTATATAAATTGAAATTTAATTATTTTAATATTTTGTGAGTATCAGTCTCTAAATGTTAGATATTTTATTATTATATTTTTAAAATTATATCATTTATGGAAAGTCATAAGTATAACACCAAATGTAATAAATAGTTACTGAACACTAAAAAGTGAAATGCTATTGGAAATGCATCTCTTAATGAAATAGCTGGGGAGTGAGTGTGTTGCTTTGTTTGAAGGACACTTCCCTAGCATCAATATTTTGAGTTGCTTTTTTCATTTGTTTGATCCTCCTGAGATTTTTCCAAGTTGGATGATACACCATGGTAACTTCAGGATGAGTGAAAAGGGTGCCTTTCCATTGCAGAGCGAAAGAAGAGTGGGTTGTGTAGGGGAGATGGAAAAGGAGAGTTGGCAAGACCCTCAAGCACAGGCACATCCTCCAGTAGACGAAAGAATTCAGGGATGTTAAAGAAATTGCTGTAAAGAAGTATTTGATCTTTTGAAACTATTCATAAGCCCATTGGGATGACCCTCCTGTTGCAGTGGTGATCTGTAAGCCTCTGTTTTGATGCCAGAAAAATGTAGATCATTAAGTATTCTTTCACTTAATGTTTGTAGACAAATCATACTTCCAAAGCTCCAGTGTATTTCAAAAACAGTTTGATCTGCTTAAACATTAGGACGCTGTTTATTCAATTAATTCACCTTTCTCAGAGATAACACAAAGGAAAATTCAATTTCATGCTTCCCAAATTATTTCAGATCCTGCGTTAATAGTACTCCAATTGTACTATTGCATTTTGCTCTATTGATACAGTGTTGATATCCATCGAACATGACATGAAATCAAAGAAATATTAATCAAACATTTTCCCAAATCCCACCGAATAATAATTTCTTATAAATTGGCCATCTTGTGCCAACTTAATATACTGGAAATAGGGCCAATTGCTCACTCCCTCCATTGTTCTAATGAATGACTCACTGAGGCCTTAGCATGCAAAATAACAAAAGTTATGAACCATATGCAGTGAAAGGATTCTGATCCTCTTGGAAAATTCTCCAGTTGCCAGAGATATTTTCATGCTCTGGGAGCCAGCTCATGTTCTCTCCTTCCCATATGCATTTCAGAAAGATGATCCTGATGACTCTCCAATAGAACTCAGCAAAGTACAGAGTGTGAAAGTTGTGGCCAGAAAACGCAGGGACCGCTCCCTCCCTCGAGCTTTTGAAATCTTCACAGACAATAAAACCTATGTTTTCAAGGCCAAGGATGAGAAGAATGCAGAAGAGTGGCTCCAGTGTATCAATGTGGCAGTTGCCCAAGCAAAAGAGAGGGAAAGTAGAGAAGTAACCACATATCTGTAGGGATTTGCAAGCCGACCTCACACTGACTGTATACAATGGGCATTGCATTATCATTGCCAATGTCAAGAAAAAGAGATAAATTCACCAAGTCACGTTGTGTTTTTCTAAGTACCAGTGGAACTGTTTTCCCTAAGAAGCAGGACCTAAAAGTGGCACGATTTTTATGCATTTCATATTCTAATGGCACCTCGTTAACTCCAGAACATCTGTGTGATTCATACAGGAAAAGGAGCTACAGAAGGTATGGGGCAGAAAGGGGAGAGTGAAGGATCTAGGAACCTCTGTAGATATGCCATTGTATGTTGTAAGAACACAACTTTACAAGATACCTGAAATACCTATCCTGAGTTAAGATTAAGCACTTCTGATGAAAACCACAGTCTGCCAAAAGTATTAGAAGAAAAAAAAAAAGCCCTATTGGGAAAAGTCAAAATTATTGACCCTGAGGGAAAACATATAACTGACTTACATAGACATACAACTGTCTTTTTTCTCTCTAATGCAAATGAGGCGAACACATGGTAAAATGGTTCTCAAGTGAAGACAGTTATATAATTAAATGTCTGTCTTTCAGAACAACTTCTCTGATTATTCCATTTAGGTTCATATAATATGATCTAAAGTGTAGGTTCTTGACTATATCTCCTGCCCAAGGCAGTAAGTGTAAGCTAGGATAAACATAGAAACCATTTTCACCATCTTCAAAATATGGGCCATTTCCATTAAACTTTGAGATGTTAAAGTTCTATACCTTTCTTCTTTATATTCAATCTTTTAATATCTCAAAATTACATTTAATGGATTTTCCCATAACTCATATTTTTTAAAAAAATTAAGCGGTGGCAGGCAGAATTACAGAATGATTCCCAATGGCCTACACCCGGACCCTCCCCTTGAGTGTGGTGGGACTTATAATTTGCTTCTAACTAATAGAATAAGGCAGAAAGAATAGGATAGTCTCTTCCATGATTATGTTACATTACATGGCAAAAGTGAAGAGATTTCTGGTTCTTAATCAGGTGACTTTGAGCAAGTCAAAAGGGGGATATGACCCTGGGTGGGCCTGACCTCATCAGATAAGCCCTTTAAAAAAGAGTGAACAAGTCAGAGACTCTCTCTTCCATTGGCCTTGAATAAGTAAGCTGCCACGAGTTCTATAGCTTCAAGGGAATGAATTTTGCCAACAACCAGCGAGCTTGGAAGAGGATCCCAGCCCCAGCCAACACCTTGATTGCACCTTTGCGAAACCCTGGGCAGAGGACCCAGCTAAGCTGTGCTTGGACGTCTGACCTAGGGGAACTTTGAGATAATAAATACATGCTGTTTAAAGCTGCCACATGTGTGAAAGTTTGTTCCGTAGCAATAGATAATACAAACACTAACTTGGTATACATATAAAGGGTCATTTTTTCTTTAAAATTTATTGACCATATAGTCTAGTATAGAAACCTGGAAAAAAAATCTAAGTAGTCAATATTCTTTTTTTTTTTTTAAGATTTTATTTATTTATTTGACAGAGAGAGACAGCGAGAGAGGGAACACAGGCAGGGGAGTGGGAGAGAGAGAATCAGGCTTCCCGCTGAGCAGGGAGCCCGATGCGGGGCTTGAGCCCAGAACCCTGGGATCACGACCTGAGCCGAAGGCAGACGCTTAACGACTGAGCCACCCAAGAGCCCCAGTAGCCAATATTCTTAATTCTACCTTGACTCTACTGCCAACTCACTAGGATAGGAAATATATAAGAGGCCAAGTTTGAGGAGAGAAACAATTGAATTTTAACATGTAAATTTTGAGGGTATTGTGAGTAACAAAATTTATTACAAGTTGGAAACAGTTCTGAAGATCAAGATTTTGCCTCACTGGATATATAGATGGTCACTAAAGATATGGAATTAGCTGAAGTTACTCAGGGAGAAGACAAAAGAACAAATAAGGGCTTCCTTGGGATACCCAACATTTAAACAATGGGCTGCTAGATTGGCTGGTCAGTGTTCAGAGATGTTATAGACCAGGGGAAACAATGTCACAAACACCAAAAATAAGGTTTAGGAAGAAGGGAGAGATTAACAACGTAAAACCCCAGAGTAATCACTTAAGATAAAGAATGATTTTTGTAGTTAGGAAGCAATTTGTATCATTGGTAGGAACAATTTCATCAGAATGATGAAGTAAAAGTCAAATTTCAGTGGGTTGAAGAATCAAAAGGAGGTTAGGAGTTTAAAGCAATAATTAGACAATATTTTCAAAAAATTGGGGCTAAGATACAGAAAATGTTTTGTTGTTTGTTTTAAAGATGTATTAGACTTAAGGGGGAAGAGTCTAACATACAGAAAGAAAGAAGAAAAATAACTTTGCTTGAGCAAAGTTTCTAGAAGTGATGGAAAAGGATTAAAATTCATGCCACAGCAATTTATGGAACAGCTAGCAAGTAACAGGTCCCATGTTTGGCCTGGGGATACAAAAATAAAAGACCCAGCTCCTCTCCTCAAAGAGTTTACAGGGTACTGGAGGAGACAATCATGTGCAACAAAGATTGAAATGCTAAGAGGCAGGGGCCTGTGGAAATGCAGGAGAAGGCACCACTGTCATTGACTTGGAACTCAAAGCATGGGCTCCCTCACTGTTTCTCAGCACTCTTAGAGAAGGGACTTGTCCTAAAGAACTAAGTAAAAGGGTCGTGGGCAGATGAGAAGATGGCCAGTCGAGGGAACCGCGCTGCAAAAGCACAGGCAGGAAAGGGAACAAAACCTGGTCCATTTGCAAAACAGCAAGTCCTTATGTAGGATTGGAACATAAAGGGGCTGTTGAGGAATGGTGCAGAATGATGCCGGAGAGGCTTACAGGGCCACGGCATAAAGGGCTTGGTTCTATGCTAAGGATCTTGAACTCTTTTCTTAAGATGATGAAGCACCTTTAAAGGTCTTAAGATTTGCATTTAGAGAAATAATTTTGATAGTGGTATAGAGAATGGATTGTATGGATGTAAAAAATCCTATCAGGGAGATCATTTGGGAGGTTCTTGGAAGTGGTGAGGTCTACTAGTAGCAGAGGAGATAGAAGGGAATGGAAATGCAGGAAAAACATTGAATTAGTAAAACAGATTGGACACTGGTGGATTGGATGGAGCCTAGGTATAGGAATGGGAAGGAAAGTGTCTCTGATGATCCCTGGGTGCATTCTTGGGAAGCTTGATGCATGATGGTAGCATTTACTGAGAAAGAAAATTCTAAGGCAACAGTTTAAGAGGTGAGCCAAATGGTAAATTCAATTTCAGTGTATACACTTAGAGTATAGATTGGTGATTCATCTTGGACTAGAGAGACATCTCCTTCTATGAAGTCAGGCAGGGAAAGGCAAGAATAGGTACAGTTGTAAATGAGTCTTTAAATATTATTTTGAAATCTAGCAGCCCATTCTTAAGAGTCACTTGAGTAACCCTAGCTGTTAATTAGAAAAAACTGGTAACAGACAAATAGAATATTAAATGACACTGCATTAGTTATTAATCATTTAAATGCCAACAATGTGCTGAAATCTTTCATAGCAGAGAGATTACAGTAAAACTCAATCTGGTTGTATACCGATCCTGTTTTCACTGAATGCTTGTCCTAAGAAAGAAGAGAATGGCCCTACTAGCTCAATTTGGAAGAAATGAATTATTTTTGTTACTTGTTACAAAGTCCTTGTGATTTAATTAACTGGATGCCTCTAGTTTAGAATGCCACTCTCAGAGCCTTTGAACCAAATCTAAAAAGAAATAAATGTATGAAGTGTGAATAATGACTTTTCTGGTTTCATTCCCCGAGGTAGTAGTCATTCCAAATGCAAGCAAATTCTCCTGGGTTTAGAATCACACAAGAATCTCAGACTCGTCAGCTTCCCCCTAACATTTCTGGCACTTCCATCCCTGTTGCCAGCTAGCTTACCACAGACTGGCCTTTCCCAAGAGGACTGCAGTTCCTGATCCTGATCTAAGAAGAAACCGCTTTTCTAAACATGTTTAAACCTTTAAAAATGTTGGGATGAATACAATTATAATCATGGTTAGAAATTCAAGTGGTTTTCATTTTTATTTTATTTTGGTTCTTTTTTCCCCTCTCAGAGAGCCGTGGAAACAAACTTTTATATGTGAGACTCTTATCTGGTTATTTCTTGAGAACCTGGAGTTTGGTAAAAATAAATGTTCAGTACTTTTCTAACAGGAGTTTTCTGGAAAATCCTTGGCTGTTGATGTTGAGAGACATATATTGGGTTATCTTCAATCCACCTACTTTCTGTTGGCACTTTTGGGCCTATTATTGTAACTTTATTCTCAGGCATAAATAAGGAGGACCCGGTTGAAAAACTACCTTTGAGAGATTTATTTTTAAATTTAAAGGTAAATTTACATTTACAAATTGCCTTTAGGAAACCATTGCAAGATGAGGTAAGAGAATATGTGAGAGGAATTCATGGTACATTGCAGAAAAGTCAACTCAAAAGTACCCTAGTCAAGATTTTAAATCCTAGGCTTAAAAGCCCAAGCCAGGATTCCCAGTCCCAAAATCTAAGTTTTTAGATGAAAAACCAAGAAAAACCCAAAATGTCATCTTGTTCCAGAATAGCTCAAGTTTATAGGCTTCTTGAGACCATTCTTCCCCAAAGGTACTTCTGAAAGACCGAGGAGTTGAAAAATTGGGAAGATTACTACCAAGGCAGTGAAGGTTAGAGAAGGTGGCGCAGGCTCTGGTCATGAGCACATGAGGATTCAAGTCCTAGCTCTACCAAAACTAAATGAGCAACCTGAGTAAATGACTCATCTTTTATCTCTAAGTTAGGGATAATGATGTTGATGGAGCAGAATTGGTGTGAGGCTTAAATGTCAAGTAAAAGCATCCAGCAGAGAATTCCACCAAAGGAGGAAAAAATCCTACAAATGAAATTATGATGCCATGTCTTAATAATAGTCTAATCAGTGGTGTTTTACTTCCAAATGTCTTTTATCTATTCTGAGAGTTTGGGCAGTTTCTTCTGACTTGGGTACCTTGAGTGATATGTGATAGGTAATTCTTTTGTATCTATTTCAGCAACAAAATGAAACCCACCCTTCTCTACATGTTGATATCTTCCTTCATTAGGTAAAACATTTAGTGCCTGCTTTGCAAGACATATGGACCTGCGGTCATTCCTCCAGTGATGGCTCTTTGGTTCCCAAATGTCACATTTCATCCCACTCTTTCTTTGCTTCTCTGTGTACATGGTAACTTTTTGTCTCAAAGTCCAATCATATTATAGTTTTTAAGACATACTAAAGAGTAATTAACACATATAGTGTCGACCATACAGGTAACTCAGTTGAAGTGACAACACGAAGAACTGGGACCCAGTTTGAGTGACACTTGGTCACAGTCATTCCTAGTGGATGACAACTGCCAAACACCACTGATTATAAGACAACTCCCAGTTTCAGAACTGAAAATATGGGAGAAAAAAAAAGTAAATAAGCAAAAGTAAGTATTAATTTAAGAGTTCTACATGGATTTGTTTCATAGTAATCAAAACTGTATGCAAATGTTTTTGTGAACAATACAGCATATTGCATATGTAAGAAATTTTGAAATATTTTAAAATGGTTAAAATGTGCCCAATGCATCCATTCTCAAAGGTATGGGATCAACCATTTCTGTGAATGCTTACCTTCTGTATTACCAGGGTTCTTCAGAGAAATAGAACCAACAGGATATATAAAGATAGATATGTAAGAGGAGATTTATTATAGGAATTGTCTTGTGTGGTTACAGAGGGTGAGAAGTCCACAATCTGCCATCTGCAAGCTGGTGACCCAGGAAAACCAGTGGTGTAATTCAGTCCAAGTTGAAAGGCCTGGGAACCAGGGAGGTACTGGTGTTAGTCCTAGAGTCTGAAATCCCAAGAACCAGGAGGTCTGATGTCCAAAGGCAGAAGAAGATGGACATCCCAGCTCAATAAGAGAGAAAGAATCCATGATGCCCACCCATATTGGTGAGGCTGGATCTCTTTACTCAGTCTAATGATTCAAAATGCTAATCTCTTCCAGAAACATCCACACAGAAACACCCAGAAATAATATTTTACCAACTATCTGGGCATCCCTTAGGCCAGTCAAGTTGACACATAAAATTAACCATCACACACTCTCCTTTGATGGAAATAAAGATGGTTAATATCCACACACAACCCATGTTCCCGATGCCTCTATTTCTGCCTTCCTGTGTTCTCCTTTATCCAAATTCTCTTTTTTGGCAGGGACGCTAATAGGAAATGGGCCAAGGTGGCAGGAGTGAGGGTAGGGGGCACTGGTATGTCTTTTAACCATTGTCACAGATTGGAGAGCCTGGAGGTAAAATTAGGATGGTGTCTAAGGAGGAATTCCAGACCAAATAGGAGGAGCATTTCCAGAAGAGGCCCTC